ATATAACAACAGATGTTGCAACATGTGAATTGTTATGTGGTAGGAAAATTAAAACTCATCTTGACCTACTACATCCAACTGTTCAAAGGTCTGTTTCCCAACATCAACATACACAAAAAGTAAATCATGGCAAATCATCCATTGAAAGAGAATTTGCAGTTAATGATAATGTGTATCTAAGGAATTATGGGAGAAAGGAAAAATGGATACCAGGTCAAATTGTTCAATGTACAGGACCTGTGCCTTATAAAGTTAAAAATAACTTGTGCAGATAATAAGTGCTAATCTGTCAATCCCACCAAGTCTGAACAGTTCACACCAACTCAGTTTGTTCCACAACCAAGTTCTGTTGATATGAGTGAATCAAGTTGTCTGGAGTCAGAAAATGTAAATTCTGGAGTTAATGATTTAAATCCTAGACCTCCTGAGATAGAGAATCCAAATGGTCAGAATATTGAGTCACCAAATCAAAAGCCACCGAGAAGGTCAAGCAGGACAATCAAAGTCCCAAATAAGTTAGACCTATGATTTTAAAGGTCAAAAGGACTTTGACATCATTGTTTTGTATCTTGATTATGTTGTAGCATATTGTGCATTGTTTGTAAGGATGTAATCTACCATAGTGTTCATGTTACAATATAATTGGTGATTTTTAGGATACTATCAATTGTTCTATTGAGAGATGTGTTATTGTGTTCTAAGGGTAAAGGGATGTAATAGATTGAGATAATTGTGAGGTCAAGGGAACTCACTCTTCTGTATTAGTATTATATTTATATTGTTATCTTGAGTGATGTCCCTTGTGGATTGTACTTCCTTCCTCTCTCTCTTTGCATCATGGCTGTCTGTAAATAAAAGGCTGTTAACACCAATGTGGCTCCTCGTCAATCTATCACAGTCTGACCCTTAATGTATGCCTCATAATTTTATTAACAAAGTATTTTTTCACAATTAGATCTAGATCTAGATTCTACTTGAGTTACGCGTGGAAGGGTTATTTTTGTTATTTTTTTTTTTCGTTTGTGACGTAATTGTTGGCATATCAGCACAAAAAAAAAAAAAGACCTGTCCCGTAGATTTTTGCTAAGAAAAAAACAAAAGTGTGATGGAAAATGTGAATCAATAATAGCTGATGAAAAAGGACATCCTATTTCACCTGATATTTATTCTAGATCTATGTGATAATGTGAATTTTTAATGGTAATTGATAGTTGAGTAGCAATGTGAACAACCAACTAAACTGATGCTTAATTAGTATTATTAATTTAAAAAATACTAGATCTATTATTCTAGTGTATAGATTTAGAGTGCATAATTGATCATCTATGACCTAAGTAGACGTAGCCTGTAGCAGATATGTCTGATGTGAGCCTAAAAGTTAAACTAAACTTTAACGGTATTAACTTTTTTATAAAAATTTAACAAAATAAAAATAACACTGCTCTCTTATTAATCTATACCTCACTCCCCAGTCACAATAAATGCTTTTATTGTTTTAAGATATTATTCACAGTCGAATTTAGCATGAAATGACAGCCGACTGTGAATAGCCGAATTGGGGCTATTTACAGTCGGCTGGGAATAGCCCCAATACGGCTATTCCCAACCGGCTGGGAATAGCCTTGGCCATAATATATAGAATAGATCTAGAGGCCTACGTGATGAAAACAAAATGTATGCCACACCCAAAATCCAATAATTTATGACTTTTTTAATGTATGTCATTTCATGGCATGTACATCGCAACTGAATGTATTAGACTATTAGACTGAAGTTTTCCTCATCGATTATCATTTTTTATATTTCTAAACTGAATATATTAGACCCTACCTAATTAATAATTAGTAGGCCTAATTATAAGTTAGGTAGAAGTAACTAGGTTTGATTATGTTATGTCAGTTAAAAAAACATTAAATTGTAATTAGGAAAGGCTTTCATTGTTATTTTGGAGTAATAGAAACCTCTTTTATTTAAGATATTAGCTATATTAAACTATGAATTGTTACAATAATGGTGTAAGACTGCTTTAATTGCAGAAAAAAGAACAGATTAACTTAAGTGCTTAATCAACTTAATGTAATTGTGGCCATACAATAAAGATTTCTTAATTTTTTAAAAATGTTCTGGAATTTATTTAAAACTGGAAAACTCATGGAATTTATTTTTAGTCTTGGAGCATGAACCCTGAATAGACCTACTTGTATTGTGTAATGAGCCACTGAAACTTACCAACTTATAGATAACTTATACTTTCACTTTCAAAGTATTTTTAACTTAGCGCTACAAGCAAATTTAAAGCAGCACTTTGGCTATATATTATATATATATACATATATATATATATATATATATATATATATATATATATATATATATATTTATATGACTATTATCATTATGTAAAGTAAAGTAAAGTTTCCCTATCTAACCTGACGGTCTTTGGGGCAAGTGAAGTAGAGTTCACTTGTTTCTGTCAGCACTATGCCCAGCCACCTTTACTTTCCCTAACGTGAGTTAGGTACCTATCAGAGTTGGGTGGACTCAGGGACGGTCTACTGACTTGAACCCGGATTCGAACTCGAGACTTACGGGTTAGCAGTCCAGCTCTCTACCGCTAGACCACTCCGTCCCATATTATCATTATAGAATACAGGATATTATGAACAGGAATATAGGTATATATTCATTCATATATATGATTATAATATGTCAGCTACCTTTTTCCCACGTTTTCTTTAACTTGCTTTCTCTGTGTGTTTATTTATTTATTTATTTGTTTGTCTTTCCAATCCAATCTTGCGATCGAAATTTCTGGCACTTCCCAGTTAGCTAGCGCGCTGAAATTTTCAGGGAAGCTTTCTTTTGGATGACCATTGAATATTCAATTGTTATTATTACTAAATTGATCAATGGAAACATTTTATTGAGCATTTTAGACCGCTATATAATCTATATATATAATTCTCCTCTGCTAGCCTTTAGAAAAAAAACCAGCGACGCGTACCTCGCGCGCAGTGAAGCGAACGATCACATGTCGCCACAGGCTTAGGGGCAGAGAATTTAGCTTGAACCGAGTTTAAACTTACAGGAGGTAGGACAGTTTGGGGGAGACGATATGGTCGAGTGGTTGGGCACACGATTGCTATCCCACTCGACACGGGTTCAAATCTATGTGTACTAGTCAGTAACGTATTCAAACAACGTGTTTTTTACGAGTTGTCTTTTTACGAGTTGTCTTTTTACGAGTTGTCTTTTTACGAGTTGTCTTCGTTTACCCAAAAAAAGTGAAAAGATAAAATCGATAGCAAGATTTTAATGCAAACAAACAGACAAAGACTAAAAAGTAGAAAATAATAATCATTAAAAAAGTTTTAAAAAACCCACGTTTTCTGATTGAACTAAAAAGTAGAAAATAAATGCTATAGGCCCTACATCACAATAATGCAAGCGATCACTCTACTATAAGCGAGCAAAAACGTGGGGCGCCGTGATTTTCTTACAGTTTCTAATACTGTTGACTCTCTACAAGCTCCCTAATAAAAGTCAATAGTATTATCTAATCAATAGTAATATAACTTTTACTTCGGCGCCCCACGTTTTTCATCGCTTATAGTAGAGTGATCGCTTGCATTATTGTGATGTAGGGCCTATAGCATTTATTTTCTACTTTTTAGTTCAATCAGAAAACGTGGGTTTTTTTAAAACTTTTTTAATGATTATTATTGTATGTTGCAGCCTGAATGATCTCTCTGTAACCTTTCTACCATTTCTTGTTTGGGAGTTAAGGGGTTAAGAGATACTGGTTACAAATCGTAAAAGAAGTCTACTACTACTATTAGGCTAAAAGCATACATATCGATGTGGCTTGGTTATTATCAACGTGGTATTTATTTGGCTTCACTGTTTTTTTTCAAGTAATTCCAAAACACTGTTTAAAATATTTTGTAGACCCCTTCTAACTTATAAGCTTATCAGGTCTAGGTCTATAACATTTTCCATCACATGAACTTGTATTTTCAGGCTTAGTATAAAAAAATAATTGATACTATAGGCCTATATATTTTTAACATTTTACACTACAATTACGTCTTGATAAGTAGATATATAGGTCTAAATCAAATTTGAATGAAATAGTTCATTTCTTCATTTTGTAAAATTAGAAGATGAGACCCTTAGTGTTGTGTTCTTTCCGTAGTTTAAAACTGTTAAATCCAGTTCAGTAAAGTAACGGTAATGTCCCCTAGCCTACCTTGTATTAATTATAAACAAACTAATAAATCCATATGCTTACAGCCACAAAACTTATATGCATACTCATATTTTTGTTTCCAGCCATACAAATAAAATAGCATTGAAAGTTTTTACAATTGTTGCATTATGGGAGCTGTTGATGATTTTTAAATCTTGAGGCTGCCATGTTTTTTGTTATCAATATAAATCCTGTTCACAACAATTGATTTAGTTCAATTTTTTTTATCTCTCCCTGGCTAACAGGACTTGAATTTAAGTGGGAGAGAACAAGAACTTACAAGTTCTATTATTTACAAAATATTGTCACAAAACTAAAAAACTTTAAATGCAAATTAGTGCCAAACTACCTGAAGAAAACAAGTGTTTATTAAGTTGTATATTACAATTTACAACTAATTATTTAATTTAAATTAATTTTCAAACTTTTATTACATATTTGGATATGATTATGCACTTATTATTTACAGTTATAAACTAACAACAGCAATTCAAGTTTTGATTTTTTGTTATTGTTAATATCATAGTATTTCTATTTTTAAAAATATTTTTAAAAAACTGGTATTAATCTGCAGTCCTGATGAATTTGTATTACTGGTTATCTATTTTCATATCAAATGTCAGTAAGTAATCATTAGTAATCAGATTGAAAAAAGTCTGGCACGTGTTAAAAATATTACCATGTTATTAGTTATAAGTTGCTTTGGCTAACATTTACATTGATTTAACATTTACATTTTTTTAATCATCAGTTCATTTCTGAGAAGCTGTCCAGCATGGAGGTGGAAACAGATGTGTTAGCTGCAGTTTCATCTACTGTAGATATACAGTCAAATGAACTAACAGAATTTTCATCTTCTGAAGATTTGAAACCAGATATATCAACTGTATTATTATCATCTCCTGAATTATCAACATTTTTAAATTTCCAGGATATAAAACCTGACATGACATTTAAAACGCCTCAAGATGTTAAACCTGATTTTACAACAGAATTTTCTTATTCTGATGACATAAAACCAGAATTATCATTTTTTGATTTCCAGGATATAAAACCAAACAAGTCATTTAATACTTCTCAAAATTTTAAACCTGATGTTGCAACAGAATGTTCTTCTTCTGAAGACATAAAAGCAGAATTATCATTTTTTAATTTCCAGGATATAAAACCTGACTTGACATTTAAAACTCTTCAAGATGTTAAACCTGATGTTACACCAGAATTTTCTACTTCTGAAGACATAAAACCAGAATTATCAGTTTTTAATTTCCAGGATATAAAACCCAACCAGTCATATAAAACTTCTCAAGATGTTAAACCTGATGTTACATTTTCAATTGAAAAAATTAATAAGAAACCTTCTGCATCGGCAGTATGTTCAACATCTGAAAACTTAAAACAAGATTTATCAACAGAATTTTTATTTTTTGAGGACAAACAAGAAAATGGACTTGAAGAAAATCTACATTTGTCTAGGGACAACGAAAATAAGATTGTTTGTTATAACCAAACGTTTTCTCAAAGTTCTAATATTATTATGTATAAAAAGGTTGATATAGGAGATAATCCATATAAATGTGATGTTTGTTTTAAAAGGTTTCCTTTTAGTTATAATTTAAATGTACATAAAAAAGTTCATTTAGGGGATAAACCACTTGAATGTGATGTTTGCCATGAAACATTTACCCAGATGATTAATTTATTAAAACATAAAAGTTTTCATCCTAGAGAAAAGCCACATGAATGTGCTGTTTGCCATAAAAGGTTTTCTCGAAGTTCTAATTTAAGACAACATGAAAAGGTTCATTCAGGAGAAAGACCACATGTATGTGATGTTTGTCATAAAAGGTTTTCTCGAAGTTCATATTTAAGAACACATAAAAAGGTTCATTTAGGAGAAAGTCCACATGAATGTGATGTTTGTCATAAAAGGTTTTCTCAAAGTTATAGTTTAAGTAAACATAAAATAGTTCATTCAGGAGAAAGACCACATGAATGTGATGTTTGTCATAAAAAGTTTTCTCGAAGTTCTAATTTAAGACAACATGAAAAGGTTCATTCAGGAGAAAGACCACATGAATGTGATGTTTGTCATAAAAGGTTTTCTCAAATTTCAAATTTAATAAAACATAAAAAGCTTCATTCCAGAGAAAGGCCATATGAATGTGATGTTAGTCATAAAAACTTGGAGAAGAAAGATCTATAATGAAGTAAAGTTATTCATTCTGTAGATCAGCCATTTTGAATCTGATGTTTGTCTTAAAAGATTCCCATATAGTTCTTATTATCTAGGACAGGGGTCTCCAAACTTTTCAGTCCGAGGGCCGTATTAACTATTAATTTTCAGTTCGGGGGCCAGTTTCTTCTAGGCATGTCGTGATTTTTCTGAGCAAAGTTCCTCAGCCATCACAAATAAACGTTTTTTCCGTGGACAAAGATCTCCGCGGGCCGGATGAGAGGACCTCGCGGGCCGCATCCGGCCCGCGGGCCGTAGTTTGGAGACCCCTGATCTAGGAGAACATAAAAAGTTTATTCAGGAGATTACCCATATGAATGTGATGCTTGTCATAAAAGGTTTTCACAAAGTTCTAATTTAAGAAAAAAAAAGATTCATTCAGGAGAAAGGCCACAATATTGTGGCTTTTGTCATAAAAACTTTTTGGTAAAGAAAGATCTATTACTACATAAAATTACTCATTCTGGCAGGGTTCTCAAACAGCCGGGAAAAAACTGGGAATTTTAAAATTTAATTTACTTGCCGGAAATTTTAATGAATAGCCGGGAAATATCTAAAAAAAAAAACAGGAAATATTGCTTCCCGGTCTATCCAATTGCTAGTCTCGCTGCGTCTTGTGATCTAGCTCTGGCGCCCAAAATTACTCTTACCAATTCTCATGATGCCTTTTACCATTAATCAAAAAATTGTAACAACTGGAGTAAATAGGGCATTCTTAAAATCACTGTGACCTCAAGTAGGCCCATGCGATCATACAGGCATTCTTTTTTTTTGGGGGGGGGGGGGGATGATACACTGCCTTCATCAGCTGTCTTAAATAGCTATTTATGTTATAACCTATGCTATATTGTTGTTTTTTTTTCAAGTTTTTATTTTGTTTTAAAATATGATTTATTTGAAATTTAAAAAAATAGGCCCTAGGATCTAATTTCAGTTGTTCTGGTTGATCTCATTGTCTATCAAACTAAAATGCTAAACTTAATGTAAGGTATTAATTAGTACAAAAATAGCATGAGGGATATTTTTCAAAGGTCTTGTCTTTAAGCAAATTACTTGTTGTTTTCAGTTTGTTGTTTGTATGAATAACTGCACACTTTTGGCTGACTACACACATTATTGAACTTGAACTCAATATATGAAATGCTAAAATTAAATACTTTGATATGTTACAAACTGCAGTGTACATTTCTACATGTTTTTTTATATTTGGTTTTAAAGTGTTACTGCTATCAGCTAAACTCACGATATTCATATTAATTGTATTAACAAACAGTTGTTTTGTATTGGGGGAGGTTCTAGAAATGGAATATTACATTATTGGATCAAGATGGGTTTATTATTTTAAACTATTTTTGTTAAATGCCTAAAAAATTTCGGATGCGACATCAAGTTTCATGGTTTAAAAATTTCAGTTTTGGGATTGAATTTTAGGATATGATTCACTTAAAAAATAAGTGGCACCCCTAAAAATGTCTGCTTTTTGTGCTTTAATTAAATTTAATTCAGCCGGTTTATGTTCAATAAAAATGCGCTAGCTGGGAATTTCTTTGAATATCAGGGAATTTATACTTGAAATAGTTGGGAATTTCTTGGAATAGCAGTATATTTTCTGGTCAAAAAATTGTGGGAACACTTTTCTGGATAAAAACAGTCATTCAGGAGAAAAGGCACATAAATGTGATGGTTGTCGCAAAAACTTTGCGAAGAAAAAGGGTCTATTATGACAAAAAAAAATGTTCATTCTGGAGGTAAGCCTTGTAAATGTGATGTTTTTCATAAAAGGTTTGCTGGGAAGTGTGATTTATAAAAACATAATTTTGTTCATTTGGGAAAAAATCCACATGAATGTAATGTTTGTCCTAAATAATTTACTCAGAATAGTAGTTTAACTTCATATAATAAACTTCATACAAGATCTAAACTACATGAACATGATGTTTGCCAAGAAAGGTTTACTCACAGTTTTTATTTAACTATACATAAAGAAGCTCATACAGGAGACAATCCACATAATCATTTGAATGTGATATTTGTCACAAAAAGTTTTCTTAATATAGATGAATTATTTATTATGTCCTATAAGTGTTCATACAGGTTATAAGCCATATGTTTGTGTTGTTGGACTTAGACGTAAAAGATTTTCTTAAATATCTTATTTAAGAACACATGTAAAAGTTAATTTAGGAGAGAAGCTTCATGAATCTGGTATATGTCACAAAAGATTTTCTCAAAGTCTTAGTCTAAATGCACATTAGAAAATTCAGTCAGGAGAGAAGTCACATGAATGTTATATTTAACACAAAAGTTTTTCTCAAATATCTAATTTTAATACTCATAAACAATTCATTCTTGAGGTAAGCCAGGCAATTCATCATGACTTAAAATAAAGTTAATGTAATTTTTTAACAAAAATAACATAATTCTAGAGCAAATTATTATTATTGAATATCTTGTTATAATTTTTTCCTTCACGTAACTTTAACTAGAGGTCATCCAATAGTGGGCCATAGTTTATTAATTTTAATATTTGTATTATGAAAAGGTTCTTTTGTCAAAGAGTATACTATGTCAATTATTATACATACTCTTAAAAGAAATTATATTCTGACTGTAAAAGGAAATAGCATTCTATTATGTCAGCTGCATGTGTACAATTTTTTTCTTTATGTAGCCTACTTTTTATGGGTGTTATCTGTAAATGTGTATGATAGAAGAAGTAAGCTATAACTTTAGGGACCCAGGGTTTTCTTTTTATACCAGCATGGTTTTGTTCAGGTCACACAGTTAATTTGCCTGTTCTTTTCAAATTATATAAAATTGACAATTCACATTCATTGGGACATGGGAGTTTACCAATTCTGATGAAACCAATTACACATTAACAATAACAGAAGCTAACTAAAATAAAACACAAAGTTCGAGTACAGTGCATTTATTTGCATTTACTAGATGTTTACAATATAAGCACTGTAACACAATTCACATTTATAACTTTACACATTTACACTACTCACAAACAGCTCAGTCAGACATACAGCAACATGACAGAATATCAGGTTGACAGTTAATACTACCTCCATTAGACCAGTACATAGACATCAAAACTTCTGAGCAGACATTTTTTTTTTGTAAAAACGTTTTCATCATTTGCGAAATGACCTTAATCATTATATTGAGAAGTATAAAATCTTAAATCATATGATCAGATTATACTGGCCGCAATGTATAACTCAAACTAAAAACTGGCTGCCATGAAAAAATTCAATTTTTTTCTAATATTTGTCCTTGAGATGTATTTATTGTCATCACTAATGCAGATATAATTGTAAATTAAATTGAGATTGAATTTAAAATGGTAATTTAGTACCTGGATAAGTTAAATTTCTACTAGGAACCAAGTTCTTTATAGTGTGCAGATCCTGTTAAAATTTTACAATCAATAGCATAAAGGTGTATAAACAAGGTGCCCATTATTGTTCCATTTACTTGATTGACTAAATTTAACTTGTATCTGTTGTGATCAGTAAAATGATGCAATTTACTTTCTATGTAAACTTATGCTGTGAAAATTAAACTTTTACTTTCATTGTTTGACATTATTTTATTCATCCCATTTAGGAACCCTTCCTCCCCCTCCCCCTATTTACATGTCTTATGGAATTAGCCTCAAGTTTCAAGTTAGTCCCAATCATTGTTAAGACGTATGGTTATTTCCTAACTTTTGCTAGATGAATGTTTTTTATTTTATAAAATTAAATGCATTTGTTACATGTTATATGTAGATTTTATCTTTCTACACTTCTTCTCAAATATCTGCTAAATCTCAGACCTCTCTTTATGCAATGTGTTAAAAATAATTTTCTTCAGATATTCATATAGGTATAGAATTTAGAGATTAACACATTTAGAGATTAAACATTTATTTTAAAAAAACAACATAAAAATTATAAATTTGAATAAAAGAATGACTAAGGCTGCAACTGTTACATTTCTGGATGTTAGTTTAAACATAATGTTATTTTTGGTTAGTTGTTATTTAATTTTGTATTCTTTACTATTAAAAAAACCCATTGAAATGTAAATTATATTGTAGTGAATCATTAGAAATTGTATCATTAAAATGTTATAAAATAAAATGGCTAACGTGTATGTCAATTTTTTATTGTTATTGTTTTTATAACTAAACTTTCTGTATGTTTAGGGTTGCCAGTTGTCCAGTTTTGAACTGGACAGTCCAGTATTTGAGCAGACTGTCCAGGATAAAATAAATATAAATACTGGACAAGTATATGAATAATACTCTGTTACCCCCCCCCCCCCCCCTTCTTCGGCTTTGCGGCATACCTGAGAATGGAAGGATGGAAAGGTGTCCAGTATTTTCGGAAAAGGTATCTGGCAAGCCTAGTATGTTAACAAAATTTCCAACGAGGTCTTCTTTCTTCTTCTTCGTTCTTAATTGTAGTGTTGAAAGGGATCCCCCCCCCCCCCCCCCCCAACACAATTTAGTATATGGTTCAACTGCTTATGCGCATGACATTGACTCTGATTTCAGCATGCTTTTCTTTTTGGATTTGCTTCCATAGCCTTTGTCCAACCAAGAGTTGTTTGATTTTGGAGTTGTCTCTCATAGAAGAGTGGCTGTCCCCAGCTAACGAGCCTCATCTGCCCTTCAGCGTTTAACTTAGTGTTACTTAGGAAAAGTAGTTGAGACCAGAGGCGTAGCGGGGGGGGGGGGGGGACATATGTCCCCGGGCGCCGACCTTAGGGGGCGCCAAAATGGGTTGGAGATACAAATTGAAAGTTTGAGGGGGGGGGGGGTGTGCAAATCAAAAGTTCGAGGTGGGCTGGAAATCAAAAGTTCGAGGTGGGGTGCAAATTGAAAGTTTGTCCCCGGGCGCCGGGAAGGGTCGCTACGCCTCTGGTTGAGACCATCCCAATTTCGGATAGAAGAGCACATCGGCTTTATTTTC